AAATAAACTTATAGAAAACATATTTTTGTTTAAAATATATCCTTATATATATATATATGACAATAGGTTGAAGAACTTGATCGTATGGTTACAGAAATGGCTGGTTTTTCAAAGTAAATAGTTTTTTTGAATATATATTTTCTAATACTAAATTTTCGTTTTATTAGAATCTTGTTTAAATATAAAAGAATTTAAGAAAAAAAAAGTTTCTATAGTCATGCCTATGAAAGTAAAACATGTTGCATAAGAGAGTTAAGGTCGTAACAGAAATCTATGTTTACACTAGTACAACCGATCTGATTGAAAATTTTACAGAATGTATGTCCAGGTCTTCACAGTTCACAGTAAAAATTTTGACTTAAAATATTAAACTATTAATGAGCTATCATAACATCAAGCGTTAAAAAGTAGATGTTCGTGTGACAAAGATTTCTTCTCGAAATCTAATGACACAGATTTCAAATTGATTTTAAAATCCAGTCAAGATCTATCGCTGCAACTTAAGGGAGCCTAATATTTCAAAATATCGTTTCTTTATTTTCGAAAAATCAGAATGGCTCTACAGAAAAAATATTCATTTCTTTCAAAAAGTAAGTCGTATATAAATATTTTGGTGTAGTTAAATTTTAGAGCGCATCTTCCTGAAGTTTATAACATGTAAAACGGTCGAAAAATCTACTTTGAGAACAATGCGAAAACAAAATTGGGCATAGGAACTTAAACTTCTTTATTAATAAAATGATATAGAAAACAAACCGTGAAATTACATAATAAATTCGGTAAATCGTATTAGACATTGACAATTATCCAATTGCGTCAAAATCGAATTTTTCGACGAAAATCATGGTTTCTGACGGACAGGTTGACCTTAATCTTCGGTCAGAAACTTTTCGGAATCAATTAAAATTATCATATAGATTCATTTATTAAAAATTAAAGAACGAATAAGACCATAATTTCTCGCATTAATATAAACTACAAATTATAAAAAGAAATACTTCAGAAAACTAAGAACTATTGCTAGAAATAATATGTTATACGAAACGACTTTTGTGAAATTTGCAATCTAAAGATTAAATCTTCTTTTGTAAAAAAAGTCTTTTTCGGATGTGATTAAACAAGCATGTTTAAAGAAAACAGAAAGTGTTTAATAATTATCGCAATCAATAATAATTGAAAAAAAAAAACAAAAATATAAAATGAATCGATTTTGTTGACAAACATATTCTATTTATTTTAGAGCTTTTATTATTTGTGGTCAGACTTATACACGTAAAGTTGACGTTGAAATAGCCAGTGTACTTGCCAGTTTTGGTGCTTCGATTCATAAGGTTTATTTTAATCGATGTGTTGTTTTTTTTTTTATTTATCTCGAAATCAATTGAATTAATATTTAGATGTGTACTGATATACGTTTATTAGCTAGTTTAAAAGAAATTGAAGAACCATTTGAAATCGAACAAATTGGTATAAATTAGCACATTTAATAAAATTAAATTATGAGTTATTTTTCTTTATTTCATTAGGATCGAGTGCTATGCCTTATAAACGTAATCCAATGAGATGTGAACGATGTTGTTCACTTGCACGACATTTGATGACATTAATTAATGATCCACTTGGAACACATTCAGTTCAATGGATGGAACGAACATTAGATGACAGTGCTAATAAGTACACAAAAAAAAAATAAAATAAACGAAACATTTATGGAAATTTTTTATTTTAAACAACTTTCATATTATTTAGACGTATTTGCATTCCTGAAGCTTTTCTAACTGCTGATATTATTTTATTTACGTTACTGAATATATCTGAAGGTCTTGTTGTCTATCCAAAAGTAATAAAAAGAAAAGTTTATTGTCTTATCAATTTTTTTTTTCTTCATTTATCTTAATTAGGTTATTGACAAGCATATTAAACAAGAATTACCATTTATGGCTACTGAAAATATTATCATGGCAATGGTAATTATATTTAAATATTTGATCGTAAGAATATTTAAATCATTTAGGTTTCTGCTGGTGGTAATCGACAAGAATGTCATGAAAGAATTCGTACTTTATCTCAAAAAGCAGCTGAACGTGTTAAAATTGATGGTTTAGATAATGATCTTGTTGAACGTGTTAAAAATGATCCATATTTTACACCTATTGTCAATAAACTTGATGTTCTTCTTGATGCTAAAACATTTATTGGTCGTGCACCTGAACAAGTAGAAAATATTTTCTTTGATTTTCACTCATAATTATTCTTTTGAAGGTTTTTGAATTTATTTCACGTGAAGTTGAACCAACTTTAAAGAATTTTTTAATACCAGTCACACCATAAACCGTTGATTAAACTTTATGAACAAAAAACAAAAAAAAACACAAAACGAAGCTTTTTTATGATCGACAAATACAAACATTTATTTTACCTCAATGCCTATTTACTTCATTTTTCGTTTGTTTTAACCGTTTTGTTGTACATGTCAAGTATTTTTTATTATTCTTATTAGAACTAGTCGCTTTAGACGAACAAAAGATATATATAAGAGAAAAAACATGAAACGATAATGCGAGAGAAAAAAAATAAGAGTAAATACAGTATTTTTTTTTTATATTGTACTTCTAGTTCTTTCGAACGAAAAAAAAAAGAAATTCTTATTTGATATTATAAGTATGGCTTTTGCCAAAAAGTCTATTTTGTTAATATATTGGCTGAAATATCGATGAATATTGAATACATAAGAAAATCAATAAACAAAAATATAAATTTTTATTTCTTACTATTTATTTCAATAGAAAACAAAATCTATACAAAGATATAATCTAAGCATTAATAAGATCTTTTTCATTAAGAATATTATTACAACCAGCTGATGGACATGTTGCTGGACGTTTTGCTTTATTTTTATCAGCAATATATTTAAGTACAGTCTTTTTTTCATATTTATGTTTACATTTTTTATTTTGTACTGGTTCAACAAATGGTTTTTGTGTTAATGGACATTTATTGGAAACAACTTGATCAACAATATTTGCATCATTATCATCATCATCATCATTATCTAAATGATGAATAAAATATATTTGAAAGGATCACAAGATTTTCTTTTTTTTTGTTTTTATTACTTTGGATTTTGGAAATACATTCAACAAAATCAGCATAACGATTATCAGCATCAATGTTAGATTCATTTGAATTAGGTTGTTTAATTAGAATTTTATTTAATTGATTTTGTAATTTTTCTAAATTTTCAATATTTAATGCTGAAATTTCAATTTGTTCATCTATTTGTGATTCATCAATTTCCATTTCATTATTACTTTCGTCATCGTCATCAGAATTTTCATTGCTTCGATGAGTACGAACTTTTTCTTGAGTATCATTCGTTTTATCAATAAATTTTGTCTAAATAAAATATCATAGTATCAATTGAGAAAAAAAACAAGAGCGAATGTATCCTAATCTTGAAGATCTAGATGAGTAAAGCAATCGGCTGAGTTACTGTTGCCGTGACATAAAAATAGATCGTAGGTTTTTGTTTTTTAATTTTTGACATTGAGGATCAGTTTTCAGGTATGTTCTTGTCTAATTTTCTTATCATTACATTCTCTATCATTGTTTTCTTCACTTCCAGAGGTATGAAACACTTTCATTCATCAACGTCAATTATTGCATCAGCTTACATCTCGAACAGAATCTATCATATAATGATGAAATAGAAAATAGTCATGCAGTAAAATGAAAAATATGAATGATCAAACAGACTAATAAATAAAATATTTTCACTTGTAAAAAGAAGATTAAATAGAACAAAGCAAGAAATATTGATCCATGTTAGAGATGTACAAAATAAACTGTTTATTCGTATCCTTATCCTGCTCTATAGAACTTCTGCTGTTACCACGCTCTACGAAGTTTTTATGTCATTCTCTCTTAATCCTATCCTTGTTGGAAGACTCTCGATGTGATAAATAATATCACGCTAGTGATGTGCACGGTCAGTTTTTTTTTTCGTGCTCTGTATCCTGACTAAGAAAAATTGCTCTTTAGTAAATAAGTCTTTAAACCCTTCAATATAAAATTTGAAATACTTTGTTTTGCTCATCATGACTTGAATTTTCCAAAAATAAAACAAAATTAATTTCTTAGACTTTATATATCGTTAAGTCTATATCTGATAAGTTACTTAGCCAAACTAAAAACATCAAGATTAAATTCATATCTTCTATCAATTTGCGAAAATCCGATTATTAATATTTCTCATTTATTGATCATAATATTATAACTTTATTCTTTCGTTCTATATGAAACTATAAATATCTATGAAAGAAATTTCTTTTTTTAACCTTTTTTAATTGTGTTCGAGCTTCTTTGATACATGTAGTTGCTTTTTCTTCAACATCATTAACTCGTACAGCAATTTTCATAAGTGCATCAACATATTTTTGACGTTCTGAAAAGAAAAAGAGACAAAAACACAAATATAAAAACTATGAAAAAAAAAAATTCAATCAAATTACCAGAACATTCTTGCATTTCTTGAGCAACACTTGTAAGTGTGACAATTTGTTTTTCAATTAATGGAAATATTTCTGACCATAAATTAAGACCTTGATCTATTTCTGTATAATCTAATACGCAATTGTCTATAGTCGGCATAACAAAAGAAGTTGAATTAGTTGTTAGTTTTGCTGACATTATGTTCAAAATTGTTTGAAAATCAAAAGGAAGTACTTAGTAGTTGCTCTTCCTGTTGTAAATGAACAACTAATCATGAATAAGAAAGAAGAGGTCGTTATTAATAAACGCTACTTGTCGAGATGAATTTCTATCGATAGTAGCGTCATTCGTGATATTCAATATATTTTTTGATGACGTTTTCTATTTGATCTTGGCTTATATCGTCCTTATTGTTTCGTCGTCATCGACAATTATTTAACATCCATCAGTGTGGGGATTATTATTTTTCTCTATCGACTATGATGAGTTTTTATCGTTCATAATATATTATGGTTAGAAAGTGGGAGGTTTGTGTTTTTGTTTTGTTTCGTTTTGTTTTTCGTATAGCTTTTTTGTTTTTTTTACTTTTAAATTTAATAGATTATTGAAAGCAAAAATCGTTTTTATTGCGATGGACGCTGTTTAACTGGTCGTAATATTGGAGTATTCATTCTTGCTCTTGTCTTGATTATTGTTACATCAGGACTATTCTTCGCATTCGAGTAAGAGTTAATAAAAAAAAAAACAAATGTCGACTTCTTATTAAGAGACTTCGCTGATAGAGTTTTCAACATAGGAATGTTTACATCAATCATCTCCTTATCTATTTTAGTTGTCCCTATCTAGCCAATCGACTCCATCCAGCTATACCAGTTTTTGCTGCTATTATATTTCTAACTGTTATTTGTTTTATTTTTCGTACGGCCTGTTCAGATCCTGGTATACTTCCACGAGGAACATCGGATGAAATACTCTACCTTGAACGATCAAGTTAGAAACTTTTTTTTTTTTGATACTAACAAAAAATTAAACAAAATAACTATTTATGTATTTCTTCTGTGCAACAGATGTTTCAAATAGTCCACAAAGTGTTGCATTACCAGGTCGTACAATCGAAGTTCAAATGAGTAGTGGACATGTGATTCAGTTAAAATTTTGTTCAACATGTAAAATTTTTCGACCACCACGCGTATCACATTGTTCATTATGTGATGCATGTATTGGTAAGTTATATTTTAAAATGAATTTAAATCTTGCATAGAAAGAAAATAATTTTTCATTAATTGTTTTCGTTGTTTTTCTATATGTTGATATTTATAATAATAAATAATTAAAATACATACAATAATAATGAGTATTATTGAAAGAATAATAAATAAAAGAGAATGATTTTCTTTTTTTGATTTATGAATAACTAATTTATTTTGACATAAAACAATATGTTTTTCTTGACAATGATTTTGTATTAAACAGAATTTTTTTTCTAAATTATTATTATAGAATAATATCCAACATTGTTTTTCATTCGAATTAAATTGTTGACATTGATAAAAATTTTTTAAAGATGTTTTATTATAATCAATCCATATTTGTTGATACGTATAATTATTTAATAAAGAAAAAATTAAATCAAATCGTGTTAAATTTGTTAATGATAGAAGTTCGAAATGATTATTTATTTTATAACATTCATCAATTGCTTTAGTCTAAACATACAAAGAAAAAAAACAAAAGATTTGAAGTCGAAAAATAAATTTCATTTATTCTTCATTATCTTTAATATTCTTATTTTATTTTATATTAAGTAAGATTTGAAAAATGTACCTGAGTTGTTCGATTTATATTTAATAAACAATAAGATTGAGTAACAGAACATGAATAATTTATTTGAATATTTGATATTAACAAAGATAATAAAATAAATAGTTCTTGATACATAAGTTTTTTTTTTTTTTTATTAAGAAAAATGAAAGAAATGCGCTTTGTTTTTTTCTTTAGCAAATTTCGATCATCATTGGTATGTTTTGATTTATTTGAAATATAATTTTTTTTTTTGTTTTTTTTTTTTTTGTATAATAGTCCGTGGGTTGGAAATTGTGTTGGCTTACGAAATTACAGATATTTTTATTTATTCTTATTTTCATTATCAATTTTATGTGCATACATATTTGCTTTTAATATAACACATGTTGTTTTACGTAAGTATTAGAAAGATTAATGATTTTTTATTATATCAATATGTCAAGGATTTATTCCATTGTTTCTTTTTTTTCTTCTAAGAATTATATTATTTTTATTTGATAGCATGAAAATTGAAAAATTTTGTTTTGTTTTTAGAATAGATATTCATTTTATATTTTGTCTATAATTAATAAAGAGAATTTATCGAGTAATTTTAGAAGAATAAACTTAGACAAAAGTAAATCTTATTCAATTCATATATTAACATTTGAAAATACAATAATATTAATTGTTTATATAGTTGGGAAAACAATCGAATAAGAATAAAATGAATTTCCTGAGCTTTTATTTCAACTATTTGATTGTACAAATATTTTTAGAACAATCTATTCTATCAAAATATCAGGTATTTATCGATTAGAAATAGTTGTATATTGAATAGTAGAGACATTATTAAAAAACATTAATTTGTAGAATTCATATAAATTTTTCTATGAAGTATAGATCAATGATTTTGATTTTTTTCTTTTACAGTATTTGAAAATAAGAATACTCTTGTTGATTTTAATGGAAATTTCTATAACGATAGTAGACATATTATAATTAACACGCTTAATTCAATTTGCTTGTAATCTTCTTAAAAAATTTTTAATATTTGTAGATAATTAATAAAATACTATTAATAATTCTATATTAAAACTGAATATTTTAATAATGAAAATATTTATTTTTTGTAATTATAAACTAAACTTATTCAATTAGCTTTTTTGTCAATTATTAACATTTTGTTTTTCAATGTAATTTAATGTTTATGATAGATATATACAATAGTAATCATTTATATCGCTAGATTTGATTTCAAATTATTTAGAAAAAATTTTCATATAAAACTAATTTTAAAATGAATGCTTCTATGATTTTTCCACTTGTTAACTCAATATAGAAGTTTTTAATTAACTCAATGTAACATATAGAAAAATATTCATAAGAATAACCTAATTTTTTTATTTTTTTTTGTTTTCTATTGGTTGATTTATAGTTAATTGGAATTATATTTATCCATCAAAACTGTGACATGTATATTGCAAAAGAATTAATATAATCACATTAAAAAATAGATCTTTGCATGTTTTTAAAATATAAATAATAATATCATAATCAAGTTCTAATTAACTCACGGTATTCTTCAATTATCTATAAGACATCGAGACCAGACACCAAAGAATAAGTAATATATTTTCACATTCATTATTCTCTATATTCCGTTGTAATTTGACTTATTTCATATTTTTCTTATTTTTTTTTTTTTTTTTTTTTGATATATGGTTTCATGCTGATTCCGACAGACAACCATTAATGCTTTTTTTGTTTTTTTTTTAAATCTCTTTTAAAAATACAAAAGATAAAACTTGAAAAGAAGTTATTAAGTCTACATATAACAATCAAAAGATTTATCATTCGCTTCAAAGAACAAGAAGAAGTAATCTTCCGGAATACTTTATTAATTAATAAATTGATACAAAAAAAAGAACAAAGTCATATACTAATGATATCGAAGTCATTGGGAAATAAATCATATTGAATTCGAGTACAAAAATTGTGAAGTCGATAGGTTCTAATCATCTGAAAAATATGCAGAATGCGCCAATCATCGAACGCAAAAATAAATCGGAAAAAAAAATATCGCGTATTTTCTGAGTGATTATTCTATTTCAATTAGATAATATCATTGTGATTATCAAAGTACGATTCGACCTAGGTTCGGATTCGAACATTTTGGACCTGAGGGATTTTACAGGGGAAGAGGAAATATTTTTGATGTTTTCTTTTCTTTTCTGTAAATAGGAGCTCAAGAAAAACCATCATTTATTGATGCAATTCGAGATACACCAGCAACAGTAGTTGAAGCAATAATTTGTTTTTTTTCCATTTGGTCCATTGTTGGTCTTTGGGGATATCATACATATTTAATTTGTCGTAGTATAACAACAAATGAAGATGTAAGTGTTAAATAAATAAAAAAAAGAAATTTATATTTGTTCTTTTTGTTCAAAAAGATTAAAAATACATGGAATGCATCTCGACCTGGCATGACTATGAAAAATCCTTATTCAAAAGGACATTCATGTTTAAATTGTTTTTCAATATTATGTGGACCATTACCACCAAGTTTTCTTAATTTAAGAGCTATAGTTAAACCAGATGATCATATTAATATGACAAGAAATGCCATGATGAATACTAATAATGCTCAAGACTTGATAAGATATCAACATGAAGAAAACCGTCGTACGAATAATAATGTAATATATTCATTTTTTTTTTTTTAATTAATTAAAATATAAAACAAAAATTTATATATTTTTTGTTGTTGTTCTAGCGAGTGTATACAACAATGACACATCCATATTCCGAACGAAAACAAAATAGTTATCCACCGCGTGATTATGTTTAATATGTCAGATTTTTTTTTTTCGTCCTCTTATTTTATTTTATTTTTTGCTTCTTATATTGCGTTCCACTATGTGAATTACTCTTTTTGTTCATAAAAATCAAGCGTGCTTACTTTTTTTTGTCAATCAAAAATAAAATAAATATATCTTAAAATGATAATTCTTATTAATTTATCATTTAAATTAGAGAATTATTTGTTTTGTTTTTTTTTTAAATTCAATTTTAAATGGTTATTCATGGTTGAATAGAATGAATTTTTAATAGTTTAGAATTACAAAAATAAATAGATCATAGAAACAAAAACGTTTCTGAAATCAAACAGTATGAATACGTTTAAAATAATAAAAAAAAGGATCTAACTAATTGTGGCACTACTGTAAAAAGAGAAATGCATTTACTTAGTCATGCAAATTAACTAGTATATGTTATATCGTATGCATGGAATATAAAGATGATCCCAAGTTTGGTAGGCGTGTTGATAGTTCAATTTAGTTATTCTTTGTCAAAAATTACTAGAGCATGTTTATGTAAGTTAAGTATGATTGGTTTTATTTTTTGCACCTTACGAATGTAATTTACCATGTTCTATTATTCAGGTAAGATTTTTTTTAAATTTTAATTGATAAAATTATATTTAAAAACAAAAAGAAAAGATGTTTTTAGTTTTTAGCATTCAAAAAACACTTTAACGAAAAGAAGTTTGAAAATAACAAAAACTAAATAAGTAAATTGGCTAAACGAAGTCTAATTTAATTTATATGTAATATGAGCATATTTAATCGTACTTAAATATCACACTAAATCAAAAAAACCGTTAATAATCGTTTATAAAAACTCCAAACGCATAGTCATTTTTTTATTTCACAAACCTTTTCATCTTCTCAACATATACATACATCATGAATATCTTTACAGTTACTCTTGTCGTACTTCTCGTTATATCAATTGGACATGTCTATGGTCATCCAGCAGCATCGTTACATCGACCAATTGTTGATTATCAACATGGTTTTAAAATTTTACAATTTCATCCATTGTCAAACAAGCATAATCATCAAATACCATCAAATATAAATGATGCAAATGAATTCTTATTACCATACAATGATCGTCCTCGTAAACGTTTAATAGACTTTTAAAAATAAACAAGAAAATGTTTATTTGTATTGAAGAGAACAAAAATATAAAATAAACTTAATAAAAGAAAAGAAATATATTTTATGATGTTTTAAAAATAAAGAAAATACAAGTTCATGTCATATAAATAAACTTCTTATTTAAGTTTGCCAATAGATTGATGTGCACATCTAAGATAGTAGAATATCGTCATTTTTCTTTTCTTTATCATTGTTTAATATAAAACTTAAGACAAAATCGAACAGGAAATTACATTCTCTTTTGTTTTTTTTTCTTCTTGCTTCCTTGTTTTATATTAGCTATTCAAAGTTCTTAAGTAATAAAAATATTTAGTTTCACAAAATAAGAACTAATTAAAATAGAAAAAAGAAAGGACAACATAAAGTATTTTCTTAGGAAGTTGATTGTTGTAAATTTATTAAATGTCAACAAACTACAGAAGAAACTGTATCGATATGCTTGTATGATTTATTCTCGTGAGACATGCGTGTTAATTCAGTACTCGCACATTTTATTTCGACAAGTTATTTTTGTAGCTTGTAGCATTTTTATTTTAATCATTTTATTTTTTTTTTTATGTCTGCTAATTACCATCATTGTCGTGATCCGTTTCTTCTTCTTTTTTTTTTTTGTTGTCATGCTTTTTCTCATTGGCAGCATATTCTCTGCTATTCATTTTATTTAAAAAAAAAGTCGTCTGCATTCTACATCTAACATTAAGTCATTAATAGAACACAAGCAAAAATAAGATTCGCCGATGTCATTTTATTGTTTTCTGTTCTTTTTCTTCTTCTTTTTAGTTTTTTATTATGTAAGAAAATGCATTTTTTTGAATATAACAATTAAATTTAGCATTTAATTTTTCATATTTATTTACAAACGATTAATCATATTTAAATAAAGAAAAAAGAATATGCAATCATCAACAACAAATATCAATCGTGGACATATTCCTCCTAAATTAAGTGTCTTCGTTTTTGGACATAACGATGATGATGATGATGATCCAAAAAGTGTCAAAAAATTTCCTGAATACGACCATGAAGTAATTGAAAACAGTTTCAGTATTGATAGTGACAACGACGATGACGACAATCTTATCCTTTCAGGTAGAATTTGTTGATGTCATGTCTGTGAATATGTGTTTCAGTAAACTTACACCTTTTTTATGTGTGTCACCTACAGTTGTCCGTGTGTTAAGTTTGCTCTTATATCGATACATTATTGCTACCCTTCTTCCATTTAAATGTTTGGCACTTGACACTTAATTTATAGACGTATAATCAACAAATCTTCCCATTTTTTCATTCTTGTGCTTATACGAGCATGTATAATCAGTCTTTGATGGATCAAAATAATACTAGTAGAGAAACGATGGGAGCATCTATAATTTTAGCTTTATCAACGATTGAAGAAAATATTAATGAGACTGATAATAATAGTGATGTTCAACATCAAAATATTAATAACAGTCATTGTCGACAAACGGATAAGCAGTCACCTCGACAAAGTATTAACTATGATGGTAAGAGAATAAATTCTAATAAATAAAAAGCTTTCGTTTTTTATTCATGAGATTTATTACTAATATTAGAGTGTCTGATAAAGCTAAACCTCTTAGAAAAATCTAAATTCAACAAATAATCTGACATGCACATGTTTTCTTTTCTATAAATTATATTGCCTATATTCATATACTTGTCATTGTCATTTATAACAAAAATTCAATACACAAAGAAGAATTCTTTATATACATCAGTGGAAAGTCAGAAATGGTATCTTGTATGTCAAATGATAGACATGCCTGACAAACACATTAAACAAGTAGAAATGATCGTCAAGCCCTTCACCTACATGACGAACGATGGATCATTATTAGTCTAGAGATAGATATGAAGAACATCATCATTTGTAGAAGTTCTTATAAACAAAAAAAACAGAAGCGAAAGAAAAATAGTAGGAGAAGATAGGAAAAAAAAACACAACTTATGATATATCATCGATCTTTAAGCAAGATCTATGCATATTGATTAAACTATCAAAATACTCTTGGGAAATACTTTCACGATGGCATCGATAATATCCACTAGGATTCGTAGTAGTGTTTGAATAAATACAATTATACTGTTATGTACTTCTGTTCGTCATAGATGACTGATGAGTTGTTGGAGAACTAGTATGTTATTATACTCTGGCTTGATTAGTTTTTTTTTTCTGTCTTTCTTTGTTCTAATCGATCAATTTAATCTATTGAATTTTAGACCGTCCATATCGTTTACAACATAAACCACATGTTAAACATATAGATGATGTATCTCAAGAAATTGATATAACATCAAGAAAAACTACAGTAACACAAATATATAGTGAAGATAATCCATATAAGTAAGTGAATTAATTTATTTATTTGAAAATATAAAAATCATTTATTTAATTTCTTTTTTATTTGACTTGAAAATCTTTTATACATAACACAAAAGAAAAAGAAACGTTTGATGCATAGTTTTTCATATTAATAAATATATTGACAGGAATTATAAAAATGTGGCATTGTCATTGTCAATCTAAATACAAGTGACAAGGCCGTATAAATGAATAGTTCTTTTTTTCTTTACAAGTTTTAATTATGTTCTTTTTTCATGAATAAGCAACTTTTTTTTTTTTAAATTGATACTTAATAATGAGTATTGTTTTGAAAGCGACAAAGAAATTTTATATCGACATCAATACTTTAGAATATACATGTTTCATAGTTACGTTGTTCTCCTTTTTTCTATGTAATAAAGAAATAATCAAATAGTGAAAATGTAAGACTGTAATAATCATATTCGTCTAGTGCACGGAAATTATTTCATATCATTTAGATTTATTGTTCTTCGCTTCATGCTTTCTTTCATCCGTCAACCTTATTATTTCTTTTTATAATCTTGAAGGAAATAAAAATATAAGACGAACACGCACATACAGAAATTTCTCACGTCTTATTTCATTATTAATAAAAGGAAAAAAAAAATTTTCTTAAAAGATATATAAAATTATATTATTCTATTTGTTTATTGTATAGTCTAATTAATCTTTATCGATTTTGAAGTTCGTCAACCCACTCATTGTGTGTCAAAACTGTTTTATTGAGAAGAATAGTGCAAGTAGTTGTGCTTGTCAATGCATGAATATCTTTTTTCTTTCTTTCTTTCTATTCTGAGCTTTATTTTCAAGTTGAAATAGCGACTCTATAGATTTTGCTCTAATCCGAACAGCTGAACTGATCAATATAATAAATTTTGTTCTAATTTGCATGCTAAATCATGACCATCCGTAGGCATACGCAAATGGAGATATAGCCTAAAGGAGGAAACGATAGAAACAGAAGTCATTTTTCCCCTATCATCATCGATATATTTATAGTTTTATACTTGACTAACATCATTATTTAGTATTATGTTGTTCAATAGATCGAAAGAAAGAAAAAAACTTTTGTTTCTACTTATTCTAAATTGTCTTATTATCTTTCTGTCAAAAGAAGAAGATTCAACTAAAACAAAACAAAAAAAAGAAGAAAAAAGTAACAACTCGACCATTCTTACTTATCTGAAGAATTAATTTCGACATCTAATCGTAAATAATTAATCTAATTTAGTCCTAGTACCTATGCTCTTTTCGCGTTTTTTCTTCTTATCTATCCATATTTTGCTTTAATAAACGACAACGACGTGTCATTCCCAGTTTCCGATTCATCCACGCACCCTGTTGGTTTCAGAACGGATATGATCGAATTAGACGACAAAAAACCCGAGCAGAAAAGAAGAAGAATGAAAGACACTTCCTTACAAACTGCTTTTTCTAATGCACAAACACATACTGACACACTAAAACTGAAAGATGTTTGCATGTCATCAACATCATCACCATCGTCATATTTATTATTGATTGTAGCAATCACAATATTGGTGCACATAAGAATACAACTACTGCTCCACTTATTGTTGTCACAAATGATGAAACAGATAGAACATCATCAGAACATGTCGTACATCATCCATCTAAAGTTAACAAAACAAAATCTTCCTATCGACCGATTACATCCATCAATATGGATAACATAAGTTCAAAACGTATAAGAATATAATTTAGTATTAAATATAATATGAAATTTCTTTATTTTATTTTTTATTGTTAAAGATTATATTAGTTCATCTTCATGTCCTGAATCTCCGACATCGTCCGATAAAAATTCATCAACAAGAACTAATCCAGCTAATTTATCACCCCCTTGTATTCCTCCAACATCAACTTCAATTTCACATAGTAGTGGAAAACGACGTGGAATTGGTCATCGAGCCAGTTATAAACGTGCACATAAAGGACGATTAGTATGCATATCTTTTTTTTTTTTCATAATTATCAGCAAATAATAAACTTTTTCTGTTTTTAAGTCTATTGATCATACACCTAATGAATTATTTATTGAATTACAAGAATTAAGATTAGATGAAGAGAATGAATATTATTGGCATGAATGTGCAAGGTAAAACAATGAAAATATAATGTTTTAAACAGAAAGATCTTTTATTTTGAATAGATGGATCCGATATGAAGAAGATTTTGATGTTGAAATACAACGTTGGCAAGGTTTGTATTACTATAAGTATTTATTTTTATTGTTATAGTTTTTTTTTTAAATTTTTTTAGCACCAAGAATTGGTTGTTTAAATTTTCATAGTTTACTTGAATTACGTCGTGGTTTACAATATGGTTTGTAGATTTAAAATTAAAATTTTGTTTTATTGAAAGAAAATTATTCTTTTGTTTTTTATTTTAGGTATTGTTTTACTTGATCTTGAAGAAGAAACATTAGAAGGAATTTATGATGGTATTATTAATGATGCTATTGCTATGGGACAAATGAATAAAGATCATAAAGATGAATTACTACGAATTTTAACATGTGATCATAGGTATTTATTTTAATAAATAAATTTCTTTGTTTTTTGTTTTTTTTTCATAATTGAAATTAATTTCTATAGACATCCAGACTCTCGTTCTTCATTTCGACGTCGTTCATCTATTTTTGATTTTCCTCAAACAAATACACGACGATCAAGTTTAGCTTTTCGAAAAAGTGAACAAATTAATTATGATGGTACAAGACGAAGAAGTTTATTAGAATTAAAACCTAATGGAGACTTAAATAAAAATTTAAAAAATCTTGTTGTTAAAGTTCGTTTATTTTCAATTCTGATATAAATTAATTATCTATTCTCTTTTGTTTTTTGTAGTATGATAATATTGATGAATCTGTTGTCAGTGATTTATGTTCAAAACAATCATCATCTGAACAAAATAATAATATTAGCAGTAGTAAAGAAAGTGTTAATCAATTACGGCCAACATTCTTCACCCAACGGCTGTCACAAGTACAAACAAAAAAATCACGGGATTCAATTCCATACAAAGTAATCAATGAAAACATTAGATAATCAATCAAAAAGCTTGTTTTCCCTTTTGAGAATTCATGTTTATGTTAAAGCAAAAACAAAAAACCATTTTTCATCATAATAAATAAGATTTTAGTTATTCATATAATCCATATATATATATATATATATATATATACATAGAAGATATAAGATAGTTTTTATTTTACATTAAGTGAAATAATAAGAACCAATCGCATGTTAGATTTATATATTTTTCATAAGGTAAAATTTCTTAACATGCGAGTAAAAGTTAATAGTGTCGGTTTTCTTAAATTGTTAATAAAATAGACAAGAAATGTTTAACTTAGATTTTGTGATAACTGGACTTATTCTCTTTTCTATTATCAACTATGGTTAAGTACGACTTGTCATATCTGAATGGGAATCATATTAAATATCAACTTTTCGGTAATAAATAATTCTTTATTCATTATCACGTAAAATTTGAAAGAAATACATACCTTAAAATTTAGACATTATCTTCTAAGTGATGAACTTCTGAATACTTTTCGTACTTATATATTGATTGTTAGAGTAGATAAATTGATTATTGATATATATATCGTATTTGACTTTAAAATTAACTGTGAAGTTTGTACAGATATATAGATCTATAATTGTTTTCTTGTCAAGGACAATACATATTAGTCGTGCAATATTTCATTCGTTCATCTGTCAGATCATGATGATATTAAACATAATCAATATAAAATTAACTTTATGAATATTCTATAAAAGTGAAACAACAGTAACTGAAGGATATGAGTTCATATCCGGATTCACGTTTTGTTGAAACTAATTAATTTCTAGATCTACGACTCAGTATAGAATCTTTCGTCTTGAAAAAAATTTTATCTATCAGACACGACGTACCAGTATATATTTCCTGTGAATAGATCTAAAAATAGTCATTCATAAAATTTTTATATATAAGTATAATTCGACAACATCTTAATTAAAGAAATAACCCTTTTACGATATATTAGTCTTAATTTTATTTGAATACTCTATAGATTTGAACTTTTATGATAATATTATTTAATTTTTTTTTTAGTCTGATGTAATGCGACGTATACCAAATGATGCTGAATGTGCCGAAGTACTTATTGGTAGTGTGCGTCATTTAACAAGACCTATTATGGCATTTGTTCGTCTTTCACGAAGTCAATTAATAGGTAAGATTATTTCAATTTTTATATCTATTTTGATGTGCTTTTTTTTTTGCCTTTTCATTTAAGATAATATGAGTGAAGTTCCATTACCAGTTAAATTTATCTTTTTATTTATTGGTCCAGCTATGGAAGAATATTTTGAAATTGGTCGTTCTCTCAGTACTCTTTTTAGTACTCCTGTAAGTAAAGATTTTCTTTTTTCAGTAAAGTTTTTTGTTGAAATTTTATTGTTTTTTTTTTAGGATTTTCGTGACATAGCTTATCGAGCAATGGATCGTCGCGATTTGCTAGGTGGTATAAATGATTTTTTTTCGGA